TAATAGTTAATAATATAATACTGCTTATGAACACTACTGAATATGTACTTTGGTACTTTAACAGTCATGTTAAAGCAATTTATTTCAAGTGGGTGGGTGAGTAAGGTGCATAAGTAAAGTGTGTGGGTGTGTGAATGAATAAGTGACGTGTGTGTGGGGGGGGTTGGGTGAGTGAGTTGCTTTAACAGTATGTAATCATGTTCTCATTCATCAAAGTGAGACTTAATATGTAAATAAAAAACAAATCAATGTTTGACATGTGTTATGAATTCCCTGTTTATTGGAAGGGATATTATTTTTACAGGGACGCTAGGAAGAGGTGGAAATGCATAGCAAAGGAGAAGACAGCAGAAATTAGAGGAAATCATAGTCTTTAGTTACTCCTAAATATATAGAATAGGAGAGCTGTCACAATAAACTGCCCACCATAGAGAAAAAAGTGAACAAGGATGGATATTTTAAATGTTAGGCACAAAACATGGCCTAAAAATGTAAACACGAACAAATCACCCTCAAATCCAATGTACAATTAAACATTATATTTTTGGATTTGGACTTCTCTCAGTCAAGAGTTCAAAAGCATATACACACACATAAACAAGTACAAGCAAATTTCTATAAACCATTTTTTTTTACTCATTCGGGTTATCAAAAAATATCGATACTCACATACTAATTGATAAAAATTGGAATTGCACGCACTCCCTTTTCTTTCTCTCTCTCTCTCTCACCACAGCGCACATTCATTTGGTTATTTAGTTAATTCTCACACTGCTTGTTCTGTTCCACACTCTCTCTCTCTCTCTCGCACTGATACGCACACTCACACACACACACACACACACACACACACATCTGTAAATTAATCTGGGTAAAAATAACATAATTATATTATTAAAAACTATCACCAAATTATTTAAACAGCATTTGTATAGTAACATTTTTGCCCCATGCTTTTGAGCCATATAAATGGTTGATCACTATATCCAGTTCCCTCTGTATTCTTAATTTATGAAATATGCCAAGTCATTGCAACTAAATTAGATCAAGTCCAAGTGAAGTTTCGAGTCATTGGTGTTAAAGTCCAAGTCTAGTTGCAAGTCATTTTTTATTTTGTTGAGTCATGTCTGAAGTAATAAAAATCATGACTTGTGTCTGATTCAAGTCCAAGTCTGAGTCTACATCTCTTATGCATTATTGTTCATGTACACAGCATATTAATGTAATGGTCTAGGTTCAGCTGTTGTATCCACTGTTCCCCAGATTCAAAATATTTTTTAAATAAGCTGTTTAGCAAAGTGATCAGCAACCAGTGAAAAGTAGGTGACAAGTAAAGTAATTAAATGTAGTGGAGCAGAAGTGTAGAGTAGCATATGCTTAATAAAATAAATGCTTACTAAGATGATACATGCAAATAGACACAAAAAAAGGATTTGTGAGCATTTATACAGGTAAATGATACCCAAGTTAAAAAAGTTACAAATTCCAAAGAATTAACTGAATTTAATGCATCTTAAATTAGATATACCACACGAGCAGAACAGAAACATTTTGTTTTGTAAAGGTAAGACTTACAGCCTGACCTGGCCTCTGACCGAGAAGCAAACAGCAACGTAAATATATAAATAAAAGAGAAAATGCCTGTGTATGATTGTGACCTACTGCACTCATATTTCAAGACTTGAAGTGCCCAAAGTAGCTGTCAATAGCTATCAAGCAGCATGATATAGTGTTGATATACTCACGCCTCAGCCAGCTCTGCCCTCTCCTCTGTACGCTCCAGCTCTCCTTCTACAATCACCAGCTTACGAGCAACCTGGACAAAAGCATGATATATATTATTAGATTTCATACAACACATATTAAAACATCTTCACTCACTGTGGACTCCACCAAGTTATCATGTGGGCAGCTATCAATGTTACTTAACAATTATCTATGGCACCTATTTGTGGCATGTGGAGTAGATTTGTCATACCATGTAGCTCTTTATGGCTATAATTTTGTCAGTACTGCTGGGAGCACTGCAGCAGTCTGTGCAGAAAAAAGCTCCTTTCTGAGACTGGGTTATTAGAGCATCCCATTCAGCACCTGTAGACAGAATGATACTGCAGATTCCAGAGGCCAATAACTGAAACTCACCTCCTCATACTTGCGGTCAGCCTCTTCTGCAATGTGTTTAGCCTCCTTCAGCTGAATCTCCTGGAGCTCCATTTTCTCTTCATCTTTCAAAGCCCTGTTCTCAATCACCTTCATGCCTCTACACACACAATCATAAAAAGTGTTTTAAAAGTGTGTTTAAAAGTGTTTTTAAAAACTTTAAAAAATGTATTATATATTTGAAAAAGCTCAGGAAATCAGGAAAAAAGGAGAGGCAAGAAATTACTGTCACTTTGGGCTAATTTTGTCTGTGGTTCAGTAGGAGAGCAGGTCGTCCACTAACCAGAAGTTCAGCTGGCTGATCCCCCATTACATGTGCCGAAGTGTCTTTGGACATGATACTAAACCCCAAATTGCCCCTGACTGCTGTGCTGGCAGTGTATGACTAATGTATGATGGAGATATATTGCACATAGATGTAATGTATGAATGGATGATGGATGGTAAAACCTCATATTTGACTCGAAACTGCATCATTTACATAGTGTTTTAAGACTAAAAGTCCACTACCAGAAGTATTGATGCTAGCGGATGTCACGATGCGAACTCATGCCCTTGGGCGAGAGTGTGTGTGGTTTTCTGGTGTGTCCATGAAAACATGAACGTGCCTCAGAGGAGGATTTCAGAGGATATTTCGGCTTAAAACACTGTAAATAACATAGTTTTCTGGTCAAATCTGAATGTCAGGGTTTTTTTTAGTTTTTTGGACTTTGTTTGTTTTGTAAGAACCTTGCCTTTTATTAAAGGACATTTTTTGTGTTGCTGCTGAACTCGCCCCTGCATTTTTGGGTCCACCTGCTGTCAACACTGTGACAATCTTTTAAATGTACTGAAGTAAACTAGTGCACTTTGTCTACTGTTTTTTCATCGAAAATTGGCCCACACACAAAAGCAACCAATTTGCAAAGATTTTCTCCAAGAATAAATCTTCTGTTTCAGAGTTGGCAATCCATGAACTGAAACTAGTCTCTGTATAACAATGACAGATGGCAGCAATCCTTGAGGCAGCCAGAACTGCACTGCATTGAACTGCAAGTTATTGTTGTGATAACTTTTGCATTAGAGCTTGAGCATTTTCAGGAGTTCTTTTATTTAGAGTGATAATGTACATGAGGTTTTTTTTGTGTATGGCTCAAATCACAATCCAGTGCACTGTGTTATTCAGAGACTGCTGTGGAAGAGACAGAAACAGGCACAAAATACTATATTTTGCTTGAGATTTTAACATGTCATGTCAGCTTACAGTGAAGTATGTGTTTACTCCATGACACCCCTGTTTGGTATGGTTCCTGACTTTGACCACACCCAACCATCCAACTACAAGGTGTGCAGTGTAGAGGTTAACCACTGATCAACCATTACTTTCAGCCAGCTGCTAAGTGACCCCTAAGTTTATTATTTATATATATATTCGAATAAGTGACTATTTTTAACAGATCAATGCAATATACAAACAATATATTGATCCTTAACGTACATTTACCTCTTGTCTTAAATAGCTGATCATGCTCAAAACTGGTAATAATTACTATATTACAGCAGGAAATCACCTCTCGCTCTCATCAGCAGCCTTCTCAGCCTCCTCCAGCTTCTGCAGAGCCGTTGCCAGTCTCTCCTGAGCTCGATCCAACTCTTCCTCCACCAGTTGGATACGTCTGTTCAAGGAAGCCACTTCTGCTTCAGCCTGAACACAGATAAACATGGTGCTGACTGACTGATATAAGTGAAGTATAGATACAAATATATAAGTAAAGTATAGGTAAAAGAGGCAGGGTACACCCTGGACATTTATTCAATTATTCATGTTCACATTCACACTTATGGACAATTGAGATTCTCCACTTAACCCAACCCCTTTTTGCATGTCTTTGGACTGTTAATACACCTGGAATACCAGACAATACTAACACAGACATAAATACAACATACAAACTCCACACAAAACCCCCCAAGCAAAACAAGGAACATTTATGATGGCTCCAACATACCACCCATTAATTTATGAGTTGTTGATGAGGTACATAAATGTTTTACAAATTGCTTCTACAAACATGATGTGTTTTCAATACTACTGTTGTTTTCTAAGGAAAAGAAGAATACAACAATAGAATTAAAGGTTTGTTTTGAAAATAATGGTCCTGACTAAAGATTAAGAAAGTGAATCAGTGTAGCCCCATAGTAAATACAGTCAGCTGTTTGACTTGGCTGGAGCCATAAGCAGTTAAGGTATTCAGTGCACTTATTTCTTTAACTATATTAGTTAAAAATATACAGGCTATAGTAGGACATAAGACATAAGAGAAGCTTTCAGAAACATCCATGGTAAGACCAGGGAATAAAATGAAAGAGTCACATCTATGTATGTTCCTGTAATAAAACCTGCAAGGTTTACAGACCATTATTATTTGACCAATTCAAACAAACAACAATAGTTGATCAGTAATGATCTATTTGATTTCAAAGTTCAGTGCCTTGTCCTCCAGCAGGGGTGATCCCAACCCCCAGAGTTTGGCTCTGTTGATTTCCTGTTGTATCAAAGGTTAAGGCTGCATTTTTATTTTTTGTACATGATTTTATGAAAATCAAAAGTCCTAGTTGTGCTATAGGAATTTGTTAATGTGTAGGTGAGTGTTTGATTTACTTAAAAACTAGAGTTTTAAGCTTGTTTGCCCTGGACATATGTCTGTGTTTTATTTGTATTTTGCTCTACACATTCACCAGTGGTAGAACCGTGGCCTATATGATTACTGCTGTTTTAGTACATGCTGAAAGGGCATACATTCTAAAGTCTATTTTTCAGCAATGACTCACATCATCCAGAATTAACTCAGTGTTTAAGAATAAAAACGAACAAATGGGAATTATTAATTCATTCAGTCACTCTCTAAAAGGGGGACAGTTGACCTAGGAGGAATGGTTGATACCTAAAATGGACTTGGACCATTGTTAAGCTCACAGTCAAGGTTGGATGGCAAACATCATGGCCAAAATAAGGCTCTGAATCCCCACGACAGCTGAGCGGTCCATGCAGGGCATGATGAGAATGGAATGCAAGGGAGAAGCGATGAATCAGCCAGGATTGGTTTACAGTGGCATTATCACAGCTTTGAACAGAGCCTAGGTTCAAGCTTCATACTGTATGAGAAGGCACCGAGTCTGGGATATTTAGAGGTTTACCATGTGCTGCAGTTATAATAAATTATATTAAAATCATAGTAAGAGGAAATAAAGGTGTACAACTCACTACTGTATCCCCTCTGTCATGTGCCTTTTACAGTATATATGGGCCTGGACTATGCTTTATTCTCTTCAATTACTGGTCAAGCATAGACAATATGATGAAAAGGTCTCTGAATTAACCACAGCAACTGCATATTGCACTTTTAGAATTGTCACTTACATCAGCGGCCTTCTTATCAGCAACCTCAAGCTTCTCCTGAGCATCCTTCAGGGCCTCGGAATATTTGTCAAGCTCGTCCTCCGTCCCCTTCAGCTTCTTTTGCATTTGCAGAATTTCGTCTTCATGCTGATGGTGTGAAAGATCAAAAACAAAGTTTGCATGGCTGTAATATCCCAGTATCATCAATTGATTTTTTTTTAGATACTTAATGCTGTGATTATAGTGGTCTGGTATAATAATTTCAATGTATTCCAGGTAGAGACATGGTAAGAAGTTATTCAATTCAGTACCATATAAAATTATTTATTGTTTTCATATTGACCATTAGACACTATTCTCTCCTGACATGCTCCCAGTTACAAAGACAGAGGACAGAATTCACAGTTCTTGTTCCACTCAAAACAATGAATTTATTACCAAAATGACTGCTACTTGGAAACCACTGCTAAGAAAATTCGAAATCCTCCATTTCTCTCCTCTCAACCCAATCGATTACTTAAGGAGGTAAATATGACAGTATGCTCAATCTTCACTCCATCAGTGCAAAGTGCTTTGGTTTTCCTCTGCCTAAATAACATGCAACTTATTGTTATCTGAACAGAACCCTTTCTAGAGTCAGTAAAGTGCAATAGGTATAAACCAGTGAAATAATATAAATGGAGCGTCATGACCACTGTGCAAATATTTCTAAACATTAAATAAACTCCAAGCAAAATTCAGGTCTATGTGTCCATATGTGAAGTGGAGCAGTGATCTAGCTGTAAAGCCAAGTGTAAAAGCAATTAGTACAGTGAGACCAAATTTTGTGTATAAATGATATGCCCAGCATGTTGAAAGGGCATGCAATCACTTCCTGCCATTTTGCAACATCCAATGCTCACACAGTTAAAGCTGAACCTCCTGCAGCTTGTTTTTATTTTATGTATCCAGTATAAAACAATCTATCTCAAATACAGTGGTACCAGTTGAATTTAGTCAAGTTGGGTCTTAGAGACACAAACACAGACTAGGTTCAGGTCTTAGTTCCAGGCCTGTGACTATTTGTTAGAATCATCTGATTGTCATCATCCAAAGCGATAATATGAAATAGTTTGAAGATACCTTCCAGAGAGGATATAGGAACATTAATCTACACTATTTTCGGTTTTCTTACCACAAAAAAAGGATGTGACAAATTGCTCTAAATGCCCCCATACAGTACAAGAGTTTAATGTGAAAATTAAAGAAAAAGCCTCACTTGAAGGCGTAATTAGTATAAAAGGCTAAAAAAAACCTTCACTGTCTGCAGCTTCAAAAACTGATATAGAGAATTAGCCCAGTTTGATAAGCCTGTTGATAAAAGATGCTCTTCTAGGTTTTTGACATATGATTTGCACTTGTGTTCATAACCCACCTGTTTGCTTCTATCTTCAGCTGCTTTCTTGTCTGCTTCAGCTTGTTCTGCCTGGTCCAGTGCATTCTCTTTGTCCAACTTTAGCATAAGCATCTTCTTTTTGATGGCCTCCATTTTAGCAGTTGTTTACTGGGGTTTCTGCAACCTCACACAATTAGAAGAGAGGGGGAGGCAAATGGGAGCAGGACAAACGGCCTTAGAGCCTGGCAAACTGGTAGAGATGCCAAACTCTGTCAAAGATAGAGGGAGACCATTTATATGACAGAGGATTGGACACTCCCACTTCTAAGCCCCGAAACATATACCGCCCCACCACCTCCACCACCACCACCACCACCACACACACACACACACACACAAACAAACACACACACAGTAACAAATGAACCTGCATGCTAACAAAATATGTGTTTCTATTCTGAGGTACATTACCTCAGATCTACTGTAACAGTCTTAGCTTTCTCCTTCTGATGTATAGAATCTTTATCAAAATTCAATTTATCAAATATGAAAAAAAAAGTATTTTGTCTTTTCATCAGATTTCAGTTGATGTTGTGTCTTCATGTTCCAGGAGCATCTCACAGAAATTCACTAATCATATGGTTGTAATATGTATATATTGTAACATGTTTCCTTTGTAATTATGATTTTGTTATGAACACATGAACAACTTATGAAGTCTGAAGTCAACTTATGAAGCCGCCATTCAGTGACTCATACCCATTTAAATTAACAGTAACAAACAACAAAGCACTATTACTGTTGATGCCTGTTAATAGAGGCAAGCAATTTCAATTACAATTTCGATCAAAGCATGTCACAAATCTAATCTTTCATAACCCTGGCCCTGCCTCTTTCTGTTCATCCCATTTTCCTCTTGTTCATGTTCATGTCCATGTTTCCATGTAGCTGTCTGCCTTGCCCATGTTCCTCATTCCGAATGAGAGTTGCACTTCTTACTTCCAGGCCTTTGCCCCAGTTTTCATCAGTTCATTGGCTTTTGTTGCCAATAATGCACCCTTGTGTTTCTTCAATTTAGACTCCCATTGTCTGTTCCAGTTTGCCAGACTGCTTTTAAACCCTATGCATTTAAGCTTTGTTTTCTTCTTACAAAATATCTTCATCAGTCTTTTTTGCTGCCTTTGGGTCCCATTTATGATAGAAACAGCACCTTTTTCTCAGATGATTATCAGTGTGAGGTCCTTAAAGTGAAGAAGTTGCAGATATGTATGAGAACTGCAGTCATATTATTCATAGTCATTTGATCCAGAGTTCATCAAAAAACATAAAATGTGCCAATTTATAACTAGTTTGTCAGATTTTGAAGCTAGTTCAAAATGTTTGTCAACTGACAACCACAGACTGATGTAGGCTGCTTACAAAACAATATTTTGTACAACTGACAGTAAATGAAAGTTCTCTTTATTTTATTTTATTGCCTAGGAAGGCAAATGGTTATGATTTAGGAAATGTGCTGGAATTCATTACTCAAACCACATTTTCAGAATATTGTAAGAAATATCTATCATGATGCTCCTGTTCTGTTTTTACATAATATTTTAATCATTGATTTTCTATGAACTGTGTTGGTGATGGGGTGATAGAACAGACACAAAACAAAGTGACACTGGGAAGGAATCCCTGTGCTGTAACCCTATTCCATCACCTGGCCTCCAATGCCTATAATTGGATTTCTCCTGGGGTTGGAAAGGATACAGTGCCAGCAGGGTGATGATGTCAGTTATTTCCCTCCATATGCTCCAGTTGGGTTATTAATAAACATCATTTGGCTGACATTGTCTAGAGGATTAGAGACTGTGTCTGCAGATATGTACACAAATACACCAGCAGAATGAACACAAAAAAGGGACAAAATTACTCATTTGTTATGGTGTACATTACAATTTCTGTTTGTGATTAAAGCAGCAATCAGATGAGAAGATTTATCAGTTCTCCATCTGTGTGTCTGTGGGTTGGTATATTGGTTGGTGACCTTTTGTACTACAGTTTATTCATATTGCCAAACAAGTGTGGCCTGATGGTGCACTGTATATGGTGAGAGGGCCCCAGTCTCATATTAAGGATGAAAAGTTGTGCCGCTAATCACCTCATTCCCGTAACCTGAGTCTCCCCACAGACACACCTGCTCCCCATTCCATCATTAGTTCATCTGTGTATTTATACCGGTCACTTTCGTTCACTCTCCGCCAGATTGTCTAGTGTGTTCYTGCCTAGCTATCCCACGTTATATTCTGTATTCTTGCCTGCCTGATCCTGACCTGACTATGACCCTGTTTGGATTTTGTCTGCCCTTTTGGATTTGTTTGCTATACGGACTTATATCCTGGTTTTGACCCCTGCTAGTTCTTTCTCTGCTCTTTCGGTGAATAGCCACGTTGACCACTAGGGATGTAACGGTATGGGATTTTACAGTATGGTACGGTGACGGTGTTAGTACTGTATACCATGGTATTTCACGGTGACAGTATATTATTTTTTTAAAGATTTTTTTTGGGGCCATGAAATAACCAAAAAAACAGACAAGTATCATTCTTAGAAGAAAACCATTGTGGTGAAACGCACCTTAGCCCTGCTGCCCCAGCGTTTCTGGTGGCCATCCATGGAAAAAGACACAGGGAGTTTATTGCTGCCTCTCACACCTGTACCTAGCAGAAGAAGAATGTCCGACAGACCCCCCTTGGTCTCCTTCAACCCTTACCCGTTCCTCGTCTTCCCTGGTCACACATCTCTGTGGATTTCGTCACCGGACTTCCCCCCTCTGATGGTAACACAGTCATCCTCACTATTGTAGACCACTTTTCGAAGACTGCCCAATTCATCCCCTTACCCAAAAAACCTTCTGCCAAAGAAACTGCTGAGATTATCCTTAATCATGTGTTTTATCTGCATGGCCTCCCCTGGGATGTTGTCTATGATAGGGGGCCCCAATTTACCTTTCGCTTCTGGTCTGAGTTCTGCATGCTACTACGAGCATCCTATCAGTCTGTCCTCTGGGTTTCACCCTCAGTCCAATGGTCAATCAGAATGGATGAACCAGGAGATGGAGATGGCGCTACGCTGTCTTTTGTCCCGCAAACCCCCCTCCTGGTCCAAACAACTCATCTGGGTCAAATATTCCCATAACACACTCCTCAGCTCAGCCACAGACCTCTTTCCGTTCCAGTGCTCAAGGAGTTTCCAACCTCCGCTCTTCCCTGAGCAGGAGCAGGAAGCGAGGGTCCCATCTGTCCAGGTCCTTATCCGTCGGTGTCAACGCACCTTGATGCAGGCACACTCCACACTCCTAAGTTCCTCTAACAATTACTAGCGCAATGCCAACCGGCACATCGCTCTGCACTCCTATACACTCCGGGACAGAGCGTCTGGCTCTCCACTCAGGACCTTCCTCTCCAGGTGGAAAACAAGAAGCTGGCCCACAGGTTCATGGGACCATTCCCCATCTCCAGGACTATCAACCCTGCAACGGTCTGCCCTTGCCTTCCCCGGTCTATGAGGGTCCATCCCACATTCCACTTTTCCCGGCTCAAACCTGTTATGGAAAGCTCACACTTGGATTCCCTTCTTGCCTGCCCCTTCAGATTTCTTTTCTATATGGACTGATATCCTGGTTTTGACCCCTGCCTGTCCTTTCTCTGCTCTTTCGGTGAATAAACCACGTTGACCACACTAAGACTGTCTGTTGTCGTGCTCTTGGGTTCAGTACTGTGTGTCAGGATTACAGTTCCCTCTCCCTCCTCCTTGAGAATAGTATAGTTTAAAAAAACAGTTTTCTCCCTGACTGTCTTATTCGCTGTTGTAGGTCATAAAGAGGCAGCAATATTAAAATGAGACCATTTCATAACCAGTTAAAAACTCCTTGTAGGCGTCTTAACATATCAGTGACATTTGACATGGCGTCTTCTTGGGCTTGAATCTCCAACTAGAAAATGTTCAATTGAACCCAATACAAGACAAATTACGTTGTGTATTACAATTTTAGTTTTAATGTAGTAATACAATCCACATGAATAACACTGTCAAATACAGTATTTGCTGAATACATAAAACCTTGTACTATTTCATAGTATCTGATTAGTATCTTGGCTATGAACATTATTTGTCTTCAAACAAAACTTTTGTTTGAATCTAGTTAAACGTGTTGTAAAATTTCAAAGATACCACAAACATTGCAGCCTAAAATATATTCATATCAGAAATGTACATGAATAGTGGGAGCATTCTAATATGAAAACTGAAGATAATGAGAAATGACAAGGTGAGTCTTAAAACAATAGAACATTCCAGCTGCTTATTGTATTCAGAAGTAATTACTAATCAATTTAATTTATATTCAGTCACATGTAACATAGCAAAACATTTACTGTGGTGGGCATAAATATATTTTGAGCTATGAATGGCATTCAACATTTAATTTGGCATTCAACATTTAATTTGCTGTACATATCAAAGATGCAAGAGAAATGTTCCATGAAAATATAATTTCATTGCCGTGCGGCAGGCAGGAATGGGAATGGCCTGATCAGGCGCTCCGTCTGCCTCTGAAGAGCCTCCAGCCGCTGTCTGCTATCCGCTGCCTACTACCAGGACATGGCCATGTCTCAGACTATAGTTGAGTGGCTCTGGCCTTGTCAGGCCCCAGGTTGGCCGCCACTGTGGCACATGTCATTGCCACCGGCGTCTCTCAAACCATACCACCACCGATACCATAAAAATTGGTTCCGATACGATATCAAGTTATTTAGGGCCAATATTGCAGACATGATACATTTTATCATTAAATGTGTTTAAATGTATCATTGTAAATTAAAGCATATACATGAAAAAAGGTCTTTTAAATAAATATGACCATAAAAATTAATATTACAGGTGTTCTGCATAGGCTAATCACTCTCTTTCCTTTATAAGCAGTGATGTCATACATAAGCTGTCTTTATTTATTTATTTATTAGTTTTAACATGTCATCATGTCAAAGTGTCACTTTGTCCTCCCAT